AATCTTCTCATGACTCCCTCATCACCTCTAGCAGAAAGCCCTAAGCTTTGAATTCCCTGCCATCCATGACCTAACCTAGCCCCTGCACATTACTCCAGCTTCACTTCCTGCTGTCCTCCAGAATGCTTTTTCAATCTTCAGCCCCTCTTGGAAGTAGTAGTGTATACACCCCTTCTGTCTTCTCCACCTCCCCTCCCCACAGCCCTGTGTGTCTGCAGGCTTAACTGCACTTGTTTTTTTGAGGCTTTTGGTTGTTGTTTTGCAGGGAAAGATTCGCCCTGAGCTAACATCTGTTGCGAATCTTCGTCTCTTTTTTTTCTCTCCAAAGCCCCAGTACATGAGTGTATATCCTAGTTGTAAGTCATTCTAGTTCTTCTATGTGAGCTGCCACCACAGCATGGCAACTGACAGATGAGTGGTGTGGTTCCACAACCAGGAAGCAAACCCGGGCCACCAAAGCAGTGAGTGCTGAACTTTAACCACTAGGCCGTCAGGGCTAGCTCTTAACAACATTTGTAATCATTGATTTTCCCATCATCCCATATGAGTACCTTGGAGGCAGGGCCTGTAACAAAGTAAGTGCTCAATTAATGTTTATTGAATGAACAAAAGAATAAATGGTTGAATTTGCAAAACTTGCGTATAGTCGTCCTTAACTGCATGGCAAGAAAATACTTTTCTCAATGTTTATAAATAGAAAAATTCCTGATGTTGTTTTTAGGATGAAGGAAAGACAGGAAAAAAAGTGTCTTGATTTGCATTTCCCTAATAATTAGTGATGTTGAACATCTTTTCATGTGCCCATTGGCCATCTGTATATCTTCTTTGGAAAAATGTCTGTTGATATCCTCTGCTCATGTTTTGATCAGGTTGTTCATTTTTGTTGTTGTTGAGTTGTATGAGTTCTTTATATATTTTGGAAATTAATCCCTTGTCAGATATATGATTTGCAAATATTTTCTCCCAGTTGGTGGGTTGTCTTTTCACTTTGTTGATGGTTTCCTTTGCTGTGCAGAAGCTTTTTAGTTTGATGTAGCCCATTTGTTTATTTTTTCTTTTGTTTCCCTTGCCTGAAGAGACATGGTATTGAAAAACATACTGCTAAGACCGATGTCAAAGCATGTACTGCCTATGTTTTCTTCTGGGACTTTTATGGTTTCCACACCCATCAGAATGGCTATTACTAAAAAGACAAGAAATAAGAAGTGTTGGAGAGGATGTGGAGAAAAGGGAACCCTCATACACTGCTGGTGGGAATGCAAACTGGTGCAGCCACTATGGAAAACAGTATGGAGATTCCTCAAAAAATTAAAAATAGAACTGCCATATGATCCAGCTATTCCCCTGCTGGGTATTTATCCAAAGAACATGAAAACGTGAATGTGTAAAGATAGATGCACCCGTATGTTCATTGCAGCATTATTCACAATAGCCAAGATGTGGAAGCAACCAAAGTGCCCATCAACAGATGAATAGTGAAAGATGTGGTGTATACATATATATATATATATATATATACACTGGAATACCTCTCAGCCATAAAAAAAGATGAAATAGTGCCATTTGCAACAAGATGGATGGACCTTGAGGATGTTATACTAAGCAAAATAAGTCAAAGAAAGACAAATATGGTGTGATTTCACTCATATGTGGATGATAAACATACACATAGATAAGGAGAGCAAATTGGTGGTTACCAGAGGGGAAGAGGGTGGGGGGAGAGCAAAAGGGGTAAAGGGGCCCGTATGTGTGGTGACAGATAAAAGCTGGACTATTGGTGGTGAACACGATGCAGTCTATACGGAAGTCAAAATATAATGATGTACACCTGAAATTTACACAATGTTATAAACCAATGTGACCTCAATAAATAACACATTACAATAAGAAAGTGTCTTTTCTCCTATTGCATTTTCACCACAAAGTTTTCCATCAGAATCAGGTTAGCTTGGCATGATCTCTGAGGTATGTGTCAGGAGGGAGTCAGAGACCAGGTGTGAACCAGCTGAGAAGGCAAGACTCTCTCAGGGACCTCTGGCCCCGGCCTGTGTAAGCCTGTATTGTGCACACTGCCTCAGGTGGCTGCTTCAGGAAGTGGATATCACTTCAGCCACGGACAGTTTGCCTCCCAGGCAATGTTCACATCATTAATAATAAGATATAACGTCATGAACCCCCTGATATGATGTGATGAGAAGAGCACATCACCTCTGTGGCATTCTTGCCAAAAACCCATAACCTCAGTCCAATCGTGAGAGATCATCAGATAAGCCCACAATGAGGGACATTCTACAAAATAACTGAACTGTACTTTATGAAAGTGTTAAGGTCACGAAAGACAAGGAAAGACTGAGGAACTGTCACAGACTGGAGGAGACTAAGGAGGCATTACGATTATATGTAATGTGTAACCCTGGAACAGAAAATGGTCTATAGTTTAGTTAATAGTATTGCACCAATGTTCATTTTCTGATTTTGATAATTACACTATTGTTATATAAAATGTTTAGGGGGATCAGGATAAAGGATATACAGGAAATCTCAGTACTATCTTTGCAACATTTCTTTAAGTCTAAATTTATTTCAAAATAAATTTTTAAAGATTTTTGTTTTTGTTGTTGTATATTGAAAACCACAGCGGCTTCACCTTTGAGATTCCAGGGCCCATCCCAGGATGCCGAGGGCTTCTAAGCCTGGAAACATGGCCATGAGATTGATCAAATATTGGGCTTCCTGTTTTCAAGACCATCCTCTGACCCACCATACTACTCTACTTTCTAAACATTGTGACTATGTCCCCATTTCATTTAATTATATTTATGGCTTCACATTTAAAGGCTAGTTCCATCCGAGGCATGTGCTATAATTCATTTACCCTACTCCCTTCTGTTGTTCATTCAAGTCGTCTTCAAGCTTTTCCTACTATAAATAATACTATGATGAATCTCGTGTAAAAATCTTTTTGCACGTCTTCAAAGATTTCCTTGGGATAAATTTTTGGCAGATTTGTAGTATTCTTTCTTGTGACTATTTAAGTATTAGTCTTCTACTTTACAAACTCCCGAGTAGCGGGGATGACTGGCACGTGCCACCATGCCCAGCTTTACAAACTCTTAAGGTCCTACACAAGAGGAATCTGTCTGGCTCTCATAACATATTTAGTGTTAGTGGGAACTATTTTTTTTAAAATATCGGTTTAAGTGTCATTGTTCCCCACTGAACTATGAGCCCCTAGAGAGGAGGAGGTCTATTTTATTAACATCTGCGGGCCGGCCCCTGGCTGAGTGGGGTTAAGTTCACACGCTCTGCTTCAGTGGCCCAGGGTTTCACTGGTTAGGATCCTGGGCGCAGACATGGCACTGCTTATCAGGCAACGCTGAGGTGAGGTCCCACATAGCACGACCAGAGACACTCACAACTAGAATATACAACTATGTACTGGGGGGCTCTGGGGAGAAGAAGAAGAAGAAATGGCAGAAGTGTGGCAACAGATGTTAGGTCAGGGGCAATCTTTAAAAAAAAAGATGATTGGCAATAGATGTTAGCTCAGGTGCCAATCTTTAAAAGAAAAAAAAATATTTGAATCCAGAGCTTGTCGAGTGTTACATCTGGCATTGGTAGGCACCATTTATATGTCTATTATTTATTATTGTACACAACTGGCACTCACAGATTTTTTTCTTAATGATTTATTTTACTTACACTTCCCACACCAGTAGGGCACAGTAAGGTGTACACAGTAAGCTATCAATAAATACCTGTCAAACTCCTACACAAAGGAACGAATACCTGGCAAGAATTAATCCACCTTCTACCACGCCTACCTCCCTGAAGAACTACATTTCCCTGTAGGCTTGGCGCGACGCACTCCTACGAAGTAAGAAAAAGCGACAATTACGTCCTAGGGCCACTTATCCGCCTTCGCCTGCCGATGTCGCAGTCTTTTATGGGAAAGGTAGTTCTAGTGCTCGTCGTCCACATCCCCCCGCAGCAAACTGAGCCCAAACTAAACTTCCCAGCAAGCAGCGCGCGGGCGTGGGAAAAGGGGCAAGATGGCGGATGCCGAAGAAGGAGTTTTGCGGCCGGCGGGAGCCTCCACTGCCCCAATTTCATTCGGCTTCAGTCGCACATCCGCCCGGAGACGGCTGGCGGACCCAGGAGATGGCGCAGGTGCACCTCCGGAGGAGAAAGATTTCTTGAAGACTGTGGAAGGGAGGGAGCTGCAGAGGTGAAGCGCCGGGTCTTTCATCCTTTGGAAATTAGTGCGGTGGGTGTAAGCGGGAGGGTGGAATCTGAGTTGACTGTGTTGGTGACAGTGGCCTGAAAAGCCTGAAGCAGAGCCTGAGGAAATTCGTGGAGGCGAGGAGGCGAGAGTTTGTAGGAGAGGTGGGGAAATTGGGCCTGATGCCCGTGGGGATTGAGAGAGTGTATTCCTGAGAGGGAGTGTCCTTAGGACTTGGGGACCCTGAGATGTGTGCGTTTTGACCGAAGGAAAGGAGGGGCAAATGACAGGACCCAGTGTCTCAACTGAAGCGTTGATGCTTCTCCGATATGGGGAACCGGACGGAGTAGCAGATTCAGGTTGGGGGAGTCCATCATCAGTTTAATTCGGAAAGGAGAGTCTGAAGGAAGCACTTCCAGAAAAGAATCAACCATCCAGGAGGCTGGTGTGGAGCCTGGAGCTGGGGAGTCTGGGCTGAACATGGTGATTTGTGGGTCATTGTGGAAACCGTGAAAGTGGGTCTTGGGATGAACAGAAGGTCAAGGACTGAGGACTGGTTCCTCAAAGGCACTGACATTTAAGACTTGGAGATGGGGAAGAGAATCTAAAGAAACCATAATCAGAGACATAAGGGGAGAGCCAGACAGGAGAACAGAGGGTGTGGTCCATGGGGCTGGGAGTGAGTTTGGCTCTTGTGTTTTCTCTGAATGAAGGGATGTGGCTCAGAACTCACTGACAGTGCTACTTTTCCACCTTCACCCCTCTGTGTCCATGTCAGTGTGAAGCCCTCAGAAGCCCCCAAGGAGCTCGTCATCCCTTTAATCCAGAATGGCCATCGCAGGCAGCCACTGACACAGGCCCCTGGGCCATCCACAGATACTGAGGCCTTGGCGGATGGGATGCTGTCCCAGGCTGTGAAGGAGCTCATTGAGGGTGAGTGATCCCCCCTTTGCCTCGCCCCAGTGAAGGAAGAAGGGGAGGAAAATGGAAGGATAGGGTGAGACCTCATTGCTTCCTCCCATTCTTCCTTAGAATCCAAGAAGTCTCTGGAGGAGAGAGAAAATGCGGGTGTGGACCCCACGCTTGCTATCCCCATGATCCAGAAAGGATGCACCCCTAGCGGGGAAGGGGCAGACAGCGAACGCTGGGCTGAGACGGTGAGTCCCCTAACCCGCTCCTGCCCCAGCCTCTATGCCCGTCTGCCAGGCTTGCCTCCCTGCGCACAGCAGGGAATGTCTCTGTGTACTAGCCACCTGCTGCCTGTCCCCTCCTCCTTCCATCCTTTTTGGAAGCATTAACAAATGAATCCAAATACTCAGGTGTGAAGAAGTACTTGGATTCTGGGATTATCTGAATGAGATGAGGAGTAAAGGAAATAGGAAATGTAAAGACCCTGAGGGTAGACTCTGCCTAGAGCGTTTGAGGAACACCAAGGAGACCAGTGTAGCTGGAGTGGAATGAGTGAGGAGGAGGAGTGGAGGAAGTCAGAAGTCCGGGGGCTAAACCAGGCGGGGCATTGTGGGCCATGGTTTTGGCTTTTACTCTGAATGAGATGAAAGCCGTGGGAGGGCTCTGAGTGGAGAAGAGACAAGCCTATGATTTGACAGGATGTCTCTGGCTGCTGTGAGCAGGACAGACTAGTAAGCAGAGGTGGAAGCAAGGAGACCAGTAATCCAGGCTAGAGATGGTGGAGACTCAGACAAGAGTGGTAGGAGTGAGGCCTGGAAGGACAGGTAGGGTTTAGTGAGACAGGGAAGAGCAGGGTGAGTACTCCTAATGGCAACAACGACCCAAACAATGGCAGCGTGACAGGAAATCAGTGTGGTGTGTGTCTGCCAGGGAGACAACTTGTGGTGTGTCTGGAGCGAATATAAAAAATTGAGGGAGTGATGATGGGAGGTGATAACAGGAGAGGTGAGGGGCGTGTCTACAGAAGTAACCAAGGCTGTCTTTCATACCCATGGACCCCACTTTTCACCTCATCATTCACAATTTTTTTGCAATGCTTCTTTGGAGCCTAGGTCTCCTACAGCCCCAGATTACCATCCCTTTTGACTGAATTGCTTTCATTAGCCTTCAGATGTCCTCTTGTTTCTTTTATCTTAAAGAAAAACAAAGACTTGTACTTCACTCTCCATCCTGTTCCAGCTTTGGCCTCATTTCTTTAAGCTTCCCTCCTCTCACAGCCTTCCACATCTCAACTGATCGCAGTTCCATCCATCCTTCCCCTCACTCAGCCTAAAAACCTTAGAGTCACCCTTAACTCCCCTCTTTATTTCATACCTCATATACAGTCTGTCAGCAAAATCTTCTCATCACCCTTTTCAAAATGCATCCAGAATCTGACCACTTCTCACCATCACCACCAGCACTACCACTCTGGTCTGGGCCACCCACATCTCTCGTCTGGACTATTGCAGTTACTTCCTCGCTCGTCTGGCTCATGGCTACTATGCTCTTGTGGCTTCTGCCCAGCTCTCCTGATAACCTCTTACCAGCCCTCTCTGCCTCCATATTGCTGTTTCTGTCTCTTCACACATGCCAGATTTCGTCCTCCTTTAGGGCCTTTGCTCTGTTTCTCTGCGTGGAACACTCTTCCTTCTCATATCCTCATGGCTCCCTCTGTCATCTCCTGGTCTCTGCTCAGATACCAACTCAGTGACACTCTCTTCTTCCTCCCTCTGCATCCCCTTAACCTACTTGATTTTTCTTCATGTAACTCACCACCACTTGATGTATTGTGTTTTTATCATGTGTCAGCACGCCGAGAAAGTAAGCCCCACAAGGGCAGGAGTGTTTGTCTTTTTTGTCCACTGCTTTATCCCCGGTGCCTAGACCAGTACCTGGCACAGAATAGGTGCTTTATAAATATTTGTTGAAGGACTGAACATGGAGGAAAAAAGTGAGGGATGGCGAGAGGAAATCAAAACTCACCCTTGAGCTAACTGGAAATGAGGCATCGAGGGTCACCCAGCGGGTGATAACAAGGGCACTTCAAGAGGGCCCACCATAAGCCAAGCCTGACCGTCCTTCCTCTGCCTGAACCCATAGGTGCCAGAGGAGGCTGATTACGAGGCAGTCCCTGTGGAGGCCTATGGGCTGGCCCTGCTGCGGGGCATGGGCTGGAAACCTGGTGAGGGCATCGGCCGCACCTTCAATCAGTGAGTTCTGGGGTAGGGGCAAGGGAACAGCAGACGGGGCAGTGAACAAGACCCCCACGGTTCCCGCTCACCCAGAACCGTCCAGCCAGGGAGAGGGCACGTTACTAGCATACGTAATTCAGTAGCCCCTTCCGCTGCTCTTTCAGCCTCCTGTTTGTGCTGTGAAACTCCATGACAGGATCCCATTTAAAATTGTAAAGATTGCCTCTCTGGGCATCAGCTTCCTCATCTGAAAAATAACAGTATGGACTCTCCAGGTCTGTTGTGAGAATTAGGTGAAATTATACACATAAAGTACTCACAGTTGCCCCTGGCCCCAAATAAGCACAGACTAAACATTTGCTATCATCACACGGCTTTACAGTCCCTTCTCTGCAGTTCTCAACTCCAAAGAATTCTGAAAACCAAACTTATTTCTTTTTTTTTTTATTATTCTCCCCAAAGCCCCCCAGTACATAGTTGTATATTCTAGTTGTGAGTGCCTCTGGTTGTGTTATGTGGGACACCGCCTCAGCATGGCTTGATGAGCAGTGCCATGTCCGTGCCCAGGATCCGAACCAGAGAAACCCTAGGCCACCGGAGCAGAGCCCGCGAACTTAACCACCCGGCCGTGGGGCCGGCCCTAACAGACATTTTCTTCATAAACCCTTTGGCAGCCAAACATGACCTGAATTGACATTGAGTGTTTTATAGTCTGCTTCTCCTGCTTGGTGTGAATATTCGTATGATTTCCCCTGTAGAAATATTAGTGTATTTGGTTACACTGTAGATACCATGTAATGGGTGGTATGTACAGCATGTTATTAGGTTGAACCAAACGAAATTGCCATTTCTGTAGGTCAAAAACAGTCCTAATACGAGCTCAGGAAGGAGATTCTTGAACATATTGCCAGGGTGGGATTTGGGTTGGTGCTCGCGGGGGAATGGGGCATTCAAGACAGTCGTATCCCCCCACAACAAGCCCGTAGTCTGTGCTCCCTGCAGAGTGGTGAAGCCCCGTGTCAACTCCCTGAGGCCCAAGGGGTTAGGACTGGGCGCCAACCTGACTGAGGTCCAGGCTCTGGCCCCCACTGGCCCCCACCGCCTGCCCAGGCCAGATGAGGAGCAAGAGAAGGATAAGGAAGACCAGCCCCAAGGACTGGTGCCTGGAGGAGCTGTGGTGGTTCGTTCTGGCCCTCACCGAGGCCTCTATGGGAAGGTAAGGGACCAAGATGTGCCTTCAGCCCAAGACGGGCAGCAGGGACATTGATGTGTGGGTCAGAGGGAGGAACAGTTGGGTTTGGGGTGGACAGGCTAGAAGTCCTTGTCCTTCAGGCCTGCCTGGCCTGTTGCCTCATTAGGTGACTCAGGACCACTTGCTGGGCCTTTCTGAGCCTGTTTCCAAATAAAAGGAAGAGAATGCCATATGCCACAAGTCCCTGATGATTAATTGCTTAAAATAGCTCCATGCCCCACAGTCTGGTGGGGGAGACACAGGGACCAGGCCAGTGGAGGTAAGGGTGGACAGCTTGGTCTTAGGGCTGTGGTTGGAGTCCACTCAACCCTTGCCTGACTTCTTCCTCTAACACTTTAGGTAGAAGGCCTTGATCCTGACAACGTACGGGCCATGGTTCGTCTGGCCGTGGGGAGCCGCGTGGTGACTCTCAGCGAGTACTACCTGCAGCCTGTCTCCCAGCAGGAGTTTGACAAGAACTCCATGGAGCTCAGTGAGTGAGCCTCTTACCTAGCTGGGGGAGTTGGAGAAGCATTCCTGCTGGTGATAAGGCCTGTCTCATGGTGGGAGGGGACGGGGGGTTAGATGTGCCTGGCAAGTGTGACTTCGGTTAGAGGTCAGGAGGTCAGAGTGAACGTAAGTGGCTTATTCCATTTGAAGAAAGGTTGCTCTTGTAACCCTGGGTCTTTAGCCTCTTTCTGAGGGGGAAGAGACAGGTACAGAAACTAATTCCTACCCTTAGGAGGTCTGTCTATTTGGGGCAATGAAGCTCTCTTTCGCTAGGGAGTGAGAACAGCTAGGACTGGGGCATGACTGGGGAGGAAGGCATTCTAGGCGTGTCGATAGGATGGGGCAGTTTGGCAGATGGGAGAGGGGTGCCGACCGAGCTCTCTGGGACTCTCGCCCACACGAGGCACTCAGGTAAGCACTGTCAGCGCGGGCTGGGTGTTTGGGGAAGGCTTCCTGAAGGAGGCCGAGATGGTTGAGAGGAAGAGGAGAGTGTTCTAATAGCCCAGGCAGAGTGTGATGGTGAAAGGGGGCACTCTGGCAGATGGGAGGTGGCCTGAGGCTGAGGTGTGGCCTGGAAGGAAAGACAGTGAGACACTGAGGCTCTTTCCTGGTTCTCCCCACACCTCTTGAATAGGCCAGAGGAACAGAAGTTCCCCAGGGCAACAGAACGGAACAGCCTCATCGTGGAAGGCCCTCCGGGATCAGGACCTCCACATCCGGCAGGAGGACTCAGAGAGGAAGCGGAAACACCTTCCAGACCGGTGGGACCCTGGGCATGTGGGATGGGGGAAGAGGGCGGGGTGTGGGGAGGCTCCAGCAGTCAGAGAAGGCTTCTAGGGCAAGGCAGGTGCATAGAAGGAACTAGGAATGGCATTATGGGTAGGTTTTACAGCATCGGCAAAGGTGGGGTGGCCAGAACATGCGTCCAACTAAGCCCAGTGTTGGCCGGCTTTCCACAGACAGGATGGGCCTGCAGCCAAGAGTGAGAAGGCAGCCCCCAGGAGTCAGCACTGGTTGCACAGGGACCTGCGTGTGCGGTTTGTGGACAAGCTGCACAAGGGTGGCCAGTATTACAACACCAAGGTGGGAACCCTGCAGCCTGGGGCCCCTTCCTCCCCCAGGGGCTGGGCCCCCTTAGCTCTCTAACATTCTCATGTCCCCTGACCCTCTCCCCAGATGACAATTGAAGATGTTCTGAGCCCAAGTACCTGTGTGTGTCGGACAGATGAAGGCCAGGTCTTGGAAGGTGAGTCTGAAGGATGGCCGCTGGGTCGTTACCATCCTGGAGGCTAATCGAGAAGGCTGTCTTAGGCCAAGAGTCTGGCCCAGGCAAAGGCTGGAAGTTTGGGCAGAGTTCAGGTTTTTTGCAAGGCCCAGCATCCTCTAACAGAACATTAGACACTTCTGTGATGGTGATTTTCTGAGCCCCTCTTTCCCCATCTGCAAATTAGCATGGAAAGGACCAATTTCTCCCTCTTGTGACTGGTGCCTTGTAGAATGTGTATTGAGTTCCCAGTGCAGGGCAGGGCTTACGACATGCCCACAATAAACGGTGTCTGTTCTCACCACCACCCGTCGTCATCGTATGTAAGTGCTCCCTTTATAACGGTTAGTGCTAGGAACTGCTCCTTAGGTTTCGTCGTCTGTGAAATGGGCGTGGTGGGAATCCCAGCTGTCAGTAGGGTGCAGAGTGGCTCCAGGGAATACAGGAACGGCCCTTCTGACAGGACCCTGGCTGGGCTGGCCCTTGCTGCAGGCCTTACTCCCCTCCCCTCGTCTGCAGGCCTGAGGGAAGACATGCTGGAAACCCTGGTCCCCAAGATCGAAGGCAACCGGGTGATGGTGGTGCTGGGGCCAAAGGCTGGAAGGGTGAGTCACAGACCTGGGAATGGAGGGTGGGAGCATGTAGAGGATATCCTGGGGTCTGGATTGGCCTTGCTGACTCTACCCGCCTCTGCTCTAGGTGGGCCGTCTGCTGGGCCGAGATGGAGAGCGGAGCCGGGCTCTGGTGCAGCTGCGGAGAGAGAATCGGCTGGTGGAGCTTCACTATGATGCTGTCTGCCAGTACGTGGGCCCCAGTGACTCAGAGGAAGACTGACTCCTGGACCCTCTCTTGTCCCCCAGGCTGTTCCCAGTTCTGTACAGTGTGAAAAGCTTGCCTTCGTGAAGGTGGGAGGTCATTGTTGCGCTTTCCACTTGCGGTACAGCCCTGGGACAGGGACAGGGCACAAGCTGGATGGACCAGAAGGGAGGCTAGAAACAAACCCTGTATTTACCAGAAGTTAGTGTCTAATAAAACCTGTTTCAAATACTTAGTAAAATGAAGAGATCATAAATGGTGTGCCGAGCTGTGAGTAGAGGTGGGAGCTGTGCTGACGGAGGTGGGAACCATTCCATTTGTCAGCCCAACCACCCTGCTTGGGCTGCCAGACAAGTTAAAGGATCCATTTGCTCAGGAGCTCACCATCGGAATGCAGAAGCTATGATATCTGGCCCCTGAGCGGATACTGTGGAGTCTGGAACGCCACATCGCTGGACAACTTCCTGAGCAGGAATCCTGGCAGTGGCTCTGCTTTTACTCTTGGTCCCAAGCAGACACTCAGAGGCACTTGAGCCAGTGACAGGAGTCAAGAGGAAGGGAGGCTTCTGCCCACAGATGGGATGTGTTAGCACTACTTTCCAGAGGAGTCAGTTAATTTTCGGACTCCCGTTTTAGTCCCAAAACTGGCTTGAAGGTAAAAAAGTTTTTGTCTGTCTCAGGTGGAAAATTCCTGGTTGCTCCAGGTAACTGGAGTCTCAAAAAAGTTAATTGTTGGGGCCGGCCCCGTGGCATAATGGTTAAGTTCATGCACTCCGCTTTGGCAGCTTGGGGTTGGCCAGTTTGGCTCCGTGATGTGGACCTACACACGGCTCATCAAGCCATGCTGTGGCAGCGTCCCACGTAGAAGAACTAGAAGGACTCACAACTAGGATATACAACTATGTACTGGGGCTTTGGGGAGGGAAAAAAAAAAAGAGGAAGATTGGCAACTGATGTTAGGTCAGGGCCAATCTTCCTCACCAAAAAGCATTGAAAAAGTTATTGTCAGAGAATCCTCAAACTTTTTCCTGTTTAATGGCCTGAGATACAAAATCAATGAGAGAAGTCAGAGCTTTAGGCACAATTGTTTCTAAACCATCCCCAATCACTAAGTTGTTGATGTAATGGGTGATATTTGAGCTGGATCTAGGCTACTGATACAAACTCCTGGTGCGTCAGAACATGGCACAGGGATGGCAAATTTAAACCCTTACCCCTGGAGCAGGATAATGAAGGTAAGCTGCTGTCTTGAGCCAAAATGAGCAGGTCCAGAAAAACGAGTTGGCCAGATCAGTGGTCATATGCCCAGTAAGGTAAGGAATGGTCAGAAAATCTTCCAATATAGTAACCCCAACATGAAGTACACTTCCACAGACTTTTTTTATCATCCCTAATTAATTCCAGAACTCATCTGTTGTCAAGATTAGCTAAACAGGCTTGTTAAGGCAGACAGCAGAGAATAACCCTCCAGCCCCAGTTCCTCTGGTTCATGAGTCATTGTTGTGATTGCACACGCTGCCCCCAAAATGCCGGGCTGGGTTGTGTTTTGAATCTTGCGGGGAGAGGTTGGGAGTTCTAGAGGTTCCCAATCTGGCGTGTCCGGTAGTCAGTTTCCTTTGCTGCATGTGCTTCGTCCAGTCAAGAATCCTCCTCCTCTCCCCAAATCATAACAAATCCATCTTGGTAACACCTTGAGAAGTCCTGAAAGCCCCCCGGGAGTGGCACTGGTCCCCTGTGTCTGCCCTGCCATGTGGCATAACCTGGCAGTTTCAGACAATCTCTCCATCTCCATGCACCACGATACTTACAACATCTTTCATCGCATTCCGATCCCCTGGAGTTCGCGTTTCTCACAAGCCTTCCTCTGGAGATGGGGCCCGAAGCCTCTGAATACAGCCCTGTGCCCAGAACGCCTCACGCTGCGGGCCTTTTGTGCTTCCCCAGAGAGGATGCCTCCTGACCCCTCAGTTTGAGGGCAGGGCTCCTTACCTTCCAAGAAGTGTGGACAGTAGCAGGAGGCTTTCCCAATCTGCCCCTTGTTCATTGTATACACAGACTGGTTTCTAAAGACCCTTCAAGTCTGTGCCATTGTCTCTCGGCATGCTGCCTGCCATTTGCCTGCTGCCAAGGTTGCCCCTTCGGCAGCGGTTACTGCAGCGACAGCTTCTAGGAGCCCATGAATTCTGCATGGACTGCTCAAGGTGGGGCCCATGACCTGGACAATTTGTCCAGGCTGGCTTCTTCCACATCACAGTGACTGAGCAAGATGTGGGTGAAAAAGCATCTGCCTCTTATGCCAAGTTTCTGGAAGTTTCCCTGGCAGGATGCTGCATCTGTTAAAAACTGTCCAGACACGGAGCTGGGAATTTGTGGCAGCGGACTCAAGGTGCAGCTGCTTTGCCTTTCAGAGAGAAGTGAGTTATTTGGGTGATTGGGACTGCTGCCTGGGGCTGAGCTCAGTGGCAAATATGGACAGGTGGCCTCTCTTTTCTGACATTCCTTCCTCAGCAGGGGGAATGCTCCCCTCCACTCCCACCCTGCAGCCTCTTAACCCCCAGGTTTGGAGCACCAGGCAGAGGGATGAGATATCCAACAACCTAGAAAGCTCTATGAGGAGGAGTGGGTCCTCACCAAGTGCCCCTCTTGTCCCAGTTCCTTCCATAGGCATCTGTTGAGCCCCTACTGTATGCCAGGTACTGTTCTGTGTGCTAGGGATGCAATAGAGTAATCATTCATTCAGCAAACATTGTGTCCCTAATATATGCCAGCATGGTTCTAGCTACTTGGGATACAGCCATGAGAGAAACAAAGAGCCTTGCCCTCATGGAGCTGACATTCCAGCGGGGCTGAGAGACAATAACCAATAAGCATAAGAAGTAAATTATCTAGTATGTTAGAAGGTGCTAAGAACCAAGGAGGAGAAAGGACAGCAGGGTAAAGGGGATCTGGTGTGGACAGATGGCAGTATTCATAGGATGGCCAGGGAGGGCTTTACTACAAAGGTGACCTTTGAGCAAAGATAAGAAGGGAGGAAGAGAGTCATGCAGCTCTCTGGAGAGAGTGGTCCAGGCAGGGGAGATAGAATGTGCAAAGGCCCTGTGGTGGTACCCGTGCTGGTGTGTTTGAGGAATAGCAAAGAGGCCACTGTGGCTGCAGAGGAGTAAAAGGGAGAAGGAGGTCGGAAGGCAGGTCAGAGAGGTACTGTAGTGCTTCAAGGGCCACACTCTGTTCTAACTGAGATGAGAAACGTGAGATGCCTCCCTGCAGCCGCTGCCCAAGAGCACCTGCTGCTGCTCCCTCCACCGCCACACTCACGGCCACGCTCAACACACTTGCCCCTCTAGCACTTGCTCAGCCTGGCTGGTTTCCACTGTTGTGAACTGATTCTCCAAGGGCTGCCCAGTGGTGCTGCTAGAAATTCCTGGAAGGCTTTCCTCTCCATCAATGCCAGTCAGGGTACTTGCCTCAAACTTGGGAAGCATTGTCCTTCCTGGGCCTCAGAGGCATCCTCGGCACCTGACTGCCACACACCTTTGATCTTTTACCACTTCTCTGGACGATCACCAGACACCACCAGCAAAAGGGAGAAGCACTAAATGTCTCCCCTGTTCCCCACAGCATCTCACAAGAGGACTGAGCGCCATTACTTGGCTCGCTAATCTTTTGGGAGTTCTGATTTTCCTCATAACTTCATCCCATCCTCGTCTCCAAAAATGCTTTAAGTCATTAGGGAATAGCAAATTAAAACAACAATGAGTTACCAGTACACACCTATTAGAAGGGCGAAAATCCAACACCGACAACCCCAAATGCTGACAAGGATGTGGAGCAACAGCAACTCTCATTCCCTGCTGGTGGGAATGCAAAGTGATATAGCTGCTTGGGAAGACAGGCTGGCGGTTTCTTACAAAACCAAACGTGCTCTTACCATACGATCCAGCATCACGCTCCTTAGTATTTACCCAAAGGAGCTGAAAACACGTCCACACAAAAGCCCGCACACAGATGTTTACAGCAGCTTTATTCATAATCACCAAAACTTGAAAGCAACCAAGATGTCCCTCGGTAGGTGAATGGATAAATAAACTGTGATTCATTCAAACAGTGGAACACTATTCAGCACTAAAAAGAAATGAGCTCTCAAGCCATGAAAAGATATGGAGGATCCTCAGATGCATATTACTAAGTGGAAGAAGCCAGTCTGAAAAGGCTACGTACTGGGTGATTCCAGCTCTATGACATTCCGGAAAAGGCAAAACTACGGAGACAGTGAACAGTGGTTGCCGGGAGGAGGGAGGAGGGATGAACAGGCAGAGCACGGAGGGTTTAGGGCAGTGAAACTGTTCTGTATGACGTCAGAATGCGGATACACGTCATTGTACACTTGGGCAAGCCCACAGAATGTACAACACCAAGAATGAGCCCTAATGTAAACGGTGGACTTTGGGTGACAATGATTTGCCATTGTCAACGAATGTAGGTTCATCGATTGTGACAACTGTACCACTGTGGTGCGGGATGTCGACAGTGGGGGAAGACGTGTTTGGGGAGGAGGGGAGCAGGAGTGTATTTTCCACTCAGTTTTGCTATGAATCTAAAACTGCTCTAAAACATAAAGCCAATTCTTTTAAAAAGTGCTTTAAGAATCTTTATGAAAATTAGAGATACATTACCCTCTTTGCCTTTGCCATATGCTATTAATTGATTGTTTTCAAAAAGCAGTAAGGCAAAGGTTCAGAGAATCAAGAGAAATGAAACAGCCAACAGAGTCGCCTGTGGACACCCAAAGGCATAAGGCATTCTGACTCATTTTGGTGATGGAAAGCAATGATATCCATGATAACTTTTCATATTTGGGGCCCTGAGAGATCACTTTTTATGCTCTCTCTCGGAAATATCACAAAGTGACATACACGTGGAAAGCAATAGTGGTGGCCTATGAAGGCAGAAGAGAGGAGCTGTATTATTTTTAAAATAATATGTGTATACACCCAAGAAACCATCACTACAATCATGACAGTGAACATATCATCACTCCCAAAAGTTTCCTCTGCTCCTTTGTAATCGCTTCCTCCTGCCCTGGCCTCATCCCCAAGCAGCTACTGATCTGCTTTTTGTCACTATAGTTTAGTTTGCATTTTCTAGAGTTTCCTATAAATGAATCATTGAGTATGTACTCTTTTCTGTTGGACATACACTAAAAAATTTTTGGAGAGTCATCCATGTAGTTCCATGTACCAACAGATC